GTGTTTTTTTTTAATATAATTTCTTACTTGTCTTCAAAGAAAGCAAAAGTGATATTTTGAAGGAGAGACAGTTACTGGAAGGCTGCGGCATCTAACTCCCCCTCCTCCTCCTCCTCCTCCCAGCAACCCCAAAAAAGAACTCAGCTAAATTACTCGGCATCCCAGCCCAACGCACAGCTCAGCCATGAGGAATTCTCACCAGATGTCTTCGTCCCCACCCGGCCTCCCACGTCACGCAGGCAGCATAACCCCTCCGAGCCCGAGGTCCTGCCGGGACGGTCGGACCCACCATGCCTGGAATCTCCAGGACAGGCTGATGGTACCCCTGTCCCACCACGGCTGGCCACCCCAGCCCCAGAAGCTGGCCCCTGGCCACACTTGTCTCCTCTGCCAGCACAGGGGATGCCAGTCCCACCACTCTCCTTTTTTGTGGTGTTCCCCTGTGCCAGGTGGATTGGGCACCACGGAGGTCGCCCAGCCAGATCCTGGCTCTGAGGGAAGTACCTCACCCATGCACCCACCTGGGACCCAGTTTCCAGCTGACAACGTCCAAAAGGAGATTCATCCAGACAACTGGTAAGATTCTCCACGGGTGTTCAGTTCACTAAAGCCAACTGAGTGACAGTGGTTTGCATTAATGGAGGACGTGGATTGTTACGATTAAAATCAGCCACAAAATAAGGAAACACTTCCCCTGCTATCATTTCGTGGTGCAATGAGAGTGTGTGGAAACAACCCCCACGAGTAACTGGAAACCCAGGTGTAGGACAAGGCAGCTGGAGACCTACTCTGGCAAGATCAGTTAATTTTCAGGGAGAAGAAAAAGCACTTCATCTAGCTCATCCCCCAGTTTAACACACTCTTGCTTCCTAAAGTACATTTCTTTGGTGAGGATAACTGTGGTTGTCTTGAAGCAAAGGGGTCCCAACTCTCTTCTCACGGTCTAAACTACAGTGCACACAGCTCACTTCAAAGAAAAACATTTTCTGCAATGTTTATGCTAAATTTTCATTGATGCTTAGTTTATACCATATTTCCAAGTCCTCATATTATTCTGGTCTTTTGTGATAGCTGTCACATCCCACTCTAGACCTTTCATGTATTAGCCAAGTGATCCTGAGGCAATATTTGCTTCTTTTTCAGCAGTCCATATCCCATCTTCATCTCCACTGTCTATGGAGATTGTTTCTGCCCTGAGAGCTCCCAATCCCATTCTCTCCTACAGACAGCTTTTGAACCCTGTCTCCTCCTTTCCTGGGCTTCCTCTCCTTGAGTGCTTGGCTGCCAGCTCCCTCCAACTCCTTCTCACAGCCAAACAAAGAAGAACACAATGACTCTGCACTAAGTGCCCTGCTTGCTGCCTGGTCCTGGAAACAGGGCCTGAAGCAGGACGTATGGGAAAAATCCTGCTCATCTCCTGATGCTCTGAAACACAGAATCCCATATGGTCAGGATCTTCAGAGGATTTTGCAACTAAACACTTAACAGCTCCCTGCTGATTGCGTGCAAGTGGCAATTTTTCAAAAGCTGAGTGCTTGGCCAAAGTTTGGAGGGTTTTTTCCCCCAGTGTTGGAACAGTAAATGATGGATCTGTGACCAAAACACCAAATCTTCAACCCTTGAGCCAGAACACAGACATGCAAACATTTCTTAATTAAACAGTTGTAAAATAATTTTAGCAAGGGCAGTTACCTCCTTAGTGGGATCACTGAGCTTTGCCAAAAAAAAAAAAAAAAAAAAAGGCAATTTGAGATAAATGACTTGCACAGAACATCTCTGCCTGATGACTGTAAAAACTGCCAGGAAATGATAAAATTAAAAAGGGTCTTACACTAAGAAGTCTCAGGCTGTGATTCTACCAGATCTGACTGTAAAATAGCCTCTAGTGTTAATGTAATTTAAAAAAGATATTAAAAAAAAAAGGGGGGACATTGTAGCAGAAGCAATTGAAAATAGCTGAAAAGGCAAGCTTGTGCCTCCACGAGATCCCTGTTTGAAATTCTTCTGATGCTAGGCTTTCACTCTGCTTAATTTTAGTACAGAACCAGTTCAGAACACTTGTTTTACAATGTTTTCAACAGGAAAAAAAAGTTAATCTCATGCAAAGAACAGAAACTCAGGATGCTGTAGTTTATGAGTTATTCAGTTTCATAAGAATAAAAAAATAGCTAATTGTTGAGAAATACAGACCAAACTAAAAATTCCACATAAAAAATATAACAATAAAATTCACATTAAATTATTTATTCAGTAATAAACAGTGACACTTTTCTTTTATACAAAGCCCCCCTCCCCATCAGTTTTGATGAGAGGGGCAAAAAAAGTTCAATGGAATTTTGAGGGAAGCAAGGCTGGAAAACAGGTGTGGGAGAGAGAGGGACCCTGATTTGACTGATGGTTTTAAACAACAGCTACAAACAGCTAGCAGGGAAAGTGCAGCACATTCTGCAGATACTTTAGATTACCGTAAACCTCAACTGCTATAAACATCAGCTGTCTGTAGGTACTAAATACCTGAGCCCAAAGCTCACCAGAGTCAACGCTGATTCCCACTGATGTCTGACAATGCTGGACCAGACCCAGGCCACCACACTGTGCCAGCCAACACTGGGCTGCAATTTAGGCATCCAAGGCTGGTTCCAGTGATCCCAATGCCATTGAAGACTTCCAAAGAGACTGACAGGAGGAAGCAGAATCAGGCTCCTGTAGGCAAATGGCCATGATCAATGATGCACAGCCAATGAGCTGATTTATCTCGAAGGCTTGAGCCTTCGTGCAGGTGCATGAGATCATTGTGATGTTTCAATGGCCCCCATCCCTAAACTTTCCTTATTGGTAGCTAAAAACATCTTGCACTTCACAGGGAACTCCAGCCCAGTTTTCATAGGTCCCACTGTGGTGTCACAGAGACTGCAGAGCAAGAACAGGGAGAGGGTCACGGGACTGTGCAGACAAAGGGCAGCTAAAACACAGGTTTCCAGGGATATTTACAATTCCCCCTGGCAACCAGTTCACCCCATAAGTTTAAATCTGCTAACACAGTCTACATTTAATACGTTGAGCAGTGACTGCTCAAGCACCTACATACAATGCTGGGAGAGGATCATCTCTGCTCTCAGCTCTACCAGCTCAACTTTTCCAAGAAGACCACTCCTGCCTCTCCTGTCCCAAGGACTGGATTTTGAACTTGCTCCGGCCAAGAGTTCCTTAGCTTCTAAAGGGACATGGTCCTGCATCAAAACTGTCAGATTGTGCCCATAGGGCTAATATGTAAAAGCAGAATTTATTTTTAAATACCTTCCCACTTTACATGAGATTATCAGTTCCAAACAGCATGCATCAATATTTTTTTTTTCTTAAAAATCCCCACCACAAACAACATTTATCATCCAAATACCCCTTAAAGGCTCAAAGGTTGACATTGACATAGTAAAACCAAGAAGTCAATTTAAAAATAATATATATTTCTGAGTTGTTTATAAGAAATATATGTTGCTGGTCCATTGATATGGAGGAAAAGCTTGTACCTGAAATTAATTAAAAGAATCACATTCAAAGATATGCTTGTCTGCTGAAAGGCAAAATATTGCACCTCTCCACATAACTCTGCTGTCTCCACAGTCATCTTTACAGATACAACCAATCAGGTGTTTTAAAAGGTTTTTCTTTGTTGGGGTTTTGTTTTTACAAATACAGAAAAATTCTATTTAGTCCTGAGTCGACAGAGAACGCAGAAAAATGCCTACATTTTTCATCTCAGATGAGATTTGGTGATGTCATTCACTTTATTTCCCAAAGGATGTGCATTTGAAGCATGAGGGTGGAATGGAGGGAACAGCTATAGCTACATGTGTACGTGTACATGTATATTTGTATAACATATATACATACACACAAAAAATCGTGGGAGCAACACATAGGTCTTTCTGCCTGGAAGCAGAAAGGTTGGGGGCAGGCAAGGCATCCTAAGTGCAGCTGGGGGGAAACGTGACACTCCCCTCCCACAACCTCTGCTCTCTCTCTGAGAGCTGTGATGAGAGATCCATTCTTGAAAGAGTGGTTTGATGCAGGAGTAGATGACTGAGGAAAAACTGCCATTCACTGGAGACCATCACACTACAAAAGAGGTATTGGATAAACCGATAACTGAACTTTTGCAACTGGTGAGGAAAGGAATCAGAACACAGTGAATTTTACCACTGCCAAGCACAGCTTGCTCAGCTCTTCAGAAATCAAATCTCCAGGGCAGTCAGTAGCTGCACTATTCCATCATCTTGTGGGGATGGAAATGGGCTGTTGAAACAAACTGGTATCTGCTTTTCAAAAAGTGGTGGACAGCTTGAACCCTCCCAGCCTTCAAATGAAGACACAAAAATTAACGGCAGATTTCTCAACATTGATAGAAATAAATAAAATCCTGGGCAACTTTAGGAGTCAAGTATGTTGATTTTCTTGAAATAAAACAGTAATTTTCCTAAGTTCTCCCAGAAATAGTGACAGAGTACAGTATGTTTTATAAGCCCTCTCAAAATGAATCATCCACTTTCTTGGGACAGTATTAGAACTCATCACATATAAAAAGAATGAAAGAACTCCTTTAGTAACGCATTAAGACACGTAACTTATCTGTGACCTGATTTTAAGGGCCTTTTTTTTCCTATCTGCAGAAACCTGAGCAGTCTTAACATTTCTGTTTCTTTCTCACTGACATCAATTCTCCACAACTGCAACGTTGCGAGCGAGCGCTCCCCTCCTCTTTCAAGAACAAAACCATCACAGCATCTGCTTCTCATAAGCACATTTGTGTGTGTGTGAGAGTGTGTGTGCATGAGAAAGCGAGAGAGAAGTAAATCTGCTGAATTTAACTTAAAAGTTTTACACAGGGAAGGATTTTTTTTTCCTTTTCCATCCTCCAAGTTGCAGAACACAGAAACAGGGCTACTGCTACGCACTTGAACTTGCACCTCACTTGTTAGTAAACAGGGACAGTTAGTGACTGAGGGAAAAAAAATTAATTTATTTAACTTTCAGAGTCAACTGACTGGTACAGGAATGACTACAGATGATGGCAGGTTGTATTGGCACTTGTCTCTCAGAGCCTGCAGAGCAACAGAAGTTCCTTCTGTTCACTCACAGGTTCAGCAGTGGAAACTGGACACAGAACAGCAGTCCTTGAGGTGGAACATGCAATAGCTCCATCACATATTCATCCCCACTAACCAACAACTCAAGAATACAATCCAGAGAGAGACTCCAGTGCAAACTGTCGGCCTGGGTTTTTTGTGTCCCGTTTTGCTTTGACAGCTATAGGGAATGGGAAGAGGTCCCTCATAGCATGAACTTGTGAAGAGGAAGGCAATGAACAGACCACTCTTGCTAGACTTTAAACTATTTCAGGAAGTAAAACACACCACACCTCAAAAACAAATGTTGCCTTTTCTTTTGCACCCCCCTGCCACCTAAAGTCTCCATCCCTCAAGTTCAATGAGGACATATTGTTCCTTTGCCTTCCAGCTTTGCCAAGTCCAGGAAAAAAAAAAAACCAAAAATACCTTGGATTTTTTTTCTTCTTCCAGTATTTCTAGTACCATCAGAATTTCTAAGTCAGAACTCTTATTCTTGAAACATTTCTTGAACTATATTGTCCTGATAAGACAGTGAACTGTGACAGCTATTACCACATTCCCTCCCACACAGTTTTCCCATTGTATGATGAATTTATTGACAAACTGAGAAGCCAGCTCCACCAGAGGAGCAGTAATATATAGAACTGTCACAAGAGTGAAATTTATTAAGAGAAAGAAATACTGATGGACTATAAAGAGGAGGAAAAAAACCCCAGCACATTTAATTCATCATCCCAACACAGAAACTATAACCCCTCTCTTTTAAAGCAATACTTAAGCATAGTCCATTCAGCACTTATACGTTGCCTCAAACTTCAAATGAGAAAGGTACATATATATCTATAAGGGTATTGCCAAATTGTGATATAATTCTAATGCCTCCGGTGCCAGCATGTCAAGTTCTGTCACGTGACAAGGGAGAACGCTCAACACCTCATAGGATCAAGTTCAAAAGGGCTGGAGGGAAGCAGCAGTGTGGGGAGGGAGCCCTGATCCCTGGAGTGGCATGCACATCCCAACACTCCCCCTCCCCTTTCACACGCAGATCCATGTGGTCTCCACCTGACAAAACTACATTTACAACACTCAGTGCCTTGAAATTAAACTGTTTCTTATCTCAGCCATGCGATTATGTCTTGGTTTCCATTCCGCTGGTGTGTCTTTCAAAAAGGGATGTCTGCAGACAGCGGTAACAAAACATAATGAGTTGCAAGAGCCCCAGGAAATATTACAGTGGGACCCTGGGCACAGGGAAAGGCAACATCTCCAAGCAATAGCCAGGATCTGGCAACCCAGGACCCGATCCCGGGCTCCCCTCAGTCCCACCTGACACTCGGTGGAGTCCCCACGGGTCAGGCATGGAAGCAGCGCTGAGGCCGCCAAGGGTGATCCTGCAGCCCTTATTCAGGATTGGAGCGCGCTCACCTCGGCTCCAACTAAACTCCTTTATTATGCAAGTCAGACCCAAGGCCCAGGCCAGAAAGGGGGTTTCCCAAAACACACTGCAGAGGGCTGTGGTTGGATGTGGCCACGTTGTTTTCCAAGTTTCCAGACGCTTACCCTGATGGCAGCCAAGCCTCAACGTGTGCATGCTGAGCACGTGCAACTGGTTACGAAACCGGAGAGCTGCAGCTGGGGTCTCGCAAGGCCCGCAGCACAGCCTGGGTTTGACAAACACATTCTGAAGTCAACAGGAGATGAAGATTTCAGCGCTTTTCTCGAGGTGCTCAGCACACAGGTCATGGGCCAGTTGAAAACGTTTTGTTTCCACGAGTCGCACATTTGTATAAACCTGGCTTTTTTTAGTTTGTTGTTTTGGTTTTTTTTTTCCCCTGAATACTGACGTTATAAGTTACCACCCTCAAAATGGCTTATCTGAAAGTCCTGCCTGTAAGATTGTACTGATATTTATAAGCACTTCGAAGGCCTGCAACATAACCCACAGGGTACTGTGTTCAACAGCTTCAATGGATCATAGAAGAGGCCCAAATTTATGCCTGGTTTAAATCCGTAAGAGTATTTGGTCCATTTTGAAAGAATGGATGGGTTGGAAATGCAGTTCCTGTAACCTCAAGCTCTGTTTTATGCTAAAGGTTTTTGCAAGTTTCTGACAATCAGCGCAGCACAAAGTCACCTTTAGAAGCAAGAAAAATAAGAACACCCTTACTACAATCTAACATCAGGAAAAAATATTTGGCTGAAACTTTAGGTGCGAATTATACTTGCTTAAGCTAGAACAAAAGGACAAAAACATCAGAATCTAGTAATGCGGAAACAAGGGTGGTTTAGCTCTTCAAAAAGAAAGGAAAGATAGACATTTGAGGTAACAAACAAAAAAAAACCAAAATGCACAAACACGTCACAGACATCTAAAAATAGCATTTTATACATTTTTGCCAGTGCTTCTCTGAGAGCAAGTTCTTTAAACAGAACTTAACAATTTTACAATTTTTTTTAAAAAAATATGTCATCCTAAAATAGCCCATCAATCCTTACCCAAACTTTCTGTATTTCTACAAAAATAGATGCACAAAGAGCTACAAAATACTGTATTCCTGAAAGGAGGCGCACTGTAATCGAGGGAGAGGTTTTTTTTTTCCTGACAATTGAGACTGTCCATAAAAATATCAAGCTGAACAAAACAAAACACTGTTAAAGGAGCAGAAAGGAGTTAGGTTGCCCAGCTGCAGCAGGCTCAGATGAGGAAAGAAAGAGAAGTTAGGTTTCTGGTTTTTTCCAACACTGTGGGACCCATAAACGGCCTTACAAACAAAAGGCTCAACAGCAAAACCAGAAAAGTTGGCTCTTCATCTTCATGTATGTCCCCTGCTCCACGCAGAAGGAGTCAACAACTGCTGTATCGCCCGCCCAGCTGTGCTGACTCCAGCTCTAGCTGGTCTTAATTTCTCTGCACTTCAGAACCAAGCAGTTTCCTTGCCCTTGTCCTGATGCTGTAGACCTGCATTTCACGAGAGAAAAGAAAAATAATTAAAATTTGGTCGAGGTTTTTTTTTTTTGTTTGTCCCCCTCCCCAAGCAACTGAAATAAGAATAAACAAGTTTCGGTTCAAAAGAAGAGAAAAAAGAAAAAACCCGCAATTTACCAGTTTAGTGAACTTGTTAGCAACACTGTTACTACTCCCAATTTTTGAGGTATGGTAAGCTTAAACCACAATTAAGTTTCAGACTGGCTCAAGAAGTTCAAGAACGCTGACAAAATCCTGTATGTGATTCCTTGTTTTGACCTAAAATGGAGCATGGCATGGTATAAGAAACCCTCCAGCAAGATCTGCATTGATAATCCAGTATGCAACAGAGTAATGTTTCCTGACAGGGGCCAGCTGCACACGCTACCTCCTTCAGAAAAACCCTGGGACACTCTAGGATCTCACAGTTTCTGTGGCATTTCATCTTGCAGAGAAGAGAGGGAAAGTGTTCCTCCAGCATGTAAAAAAACCAAATAATTTCACCTACAGAGTGTCAGATTTTCAGCCAAGAATGGTTAGTGCTTCCACATGGGAAAAATTAATGATTTTCAGCTTGCATTTGTTATGAGTTCCTCTAACATTTTCCTTTGTAAAAAGTGAGGACTATCTAATAAATATGGTGCTATGTTGTGGCTTTAGCATTACAGACTTGGAACCTGTACTACAATCTGTGATTTCTCTGCTCCAGAGGGATTTAATCTTCTCTAGATTTACACCTAACAGGGCGTACACCTAAAATTCAGAAAGAGAGATGCAGATTAAACTTCCTGAAGAAGATACATTCTTGCTCATTTATAGGAAAGTAAAAAGGAGAGAGATGCAGGCACATGTTTTCAGTGGTAGCAAGGCACTTCAGACTCAACTATATAAAGGCTGCCCCTTATAATGTTTTGAGCCAAGTAATTCATTGTATGAAATAAAGGTGCACTTCCTGCTATAAGCCATCATTCCTATACAGACAGTAAAGCTCCACTGTGCCATGCTATAGAGGGCCCCAAGACCAGTGCATCAGCTAAGAATTTAGGGGCAATTTCACCACTAATGTAAATAAGTTCAACTCCAGACTTCAATGATGTTGTAGCCACTGAAGCTCCATGTTCACTCGATATTCATCCTGTCGAAGCTGACAGATCCATGTGCTAAGCACAGATCTCATTCCCGTATTTGGTCACACAGCAAAACACACAGGAGGTCCCACATGTATCCAGAAAGCCTCATAGGCATGAAGGGTTCAGATCAGACAACCACCTCCTTGTTTTAAGAGTTAAATATGTAACGATGATCAGCATTTCACACAGTTGAGCTACAAAGCAGTTGATGGTCACAGAAAAGGTGACAGCATATGGCTCTATCCATATAAGGATACAAACACTTCTGTGTCCACAAGTGAAAAGACAGGGAAAGCCAAGCACACAGGTATGGCATACCAAACCTTGTCCAGTGGCTTTCTGCTCCATTTCACCTACTTCTTCAGTCAGGAAAAACTGGGATACCCCTCATCTAGAGCATGCCCATAAAGACATGTTCAGAGACTCTTTATTCAATGAAGATATCTCCTTTCTCCTTGTTGCTTAAGAGCTACTTGTTTTCCTGGCAGCATCATACACAGGTAGAGACATATCAAACTGCTGCTAGTTTCCTTCAAAGCTCCCTCCAAGTTTGTGATGACAATTTGGGGTTATTTTCTCCCTGCTGTTTACAATTTTTTTAAACAAAGATGACACCAAAAAAAAAAGGACGGGGGAAAGGGAGAGGGCCAAAGGGAGAGGGGAAGAAAAAAAGGAAGAAAAAAGAAAAAAGGAAGAAAAAAAAAGAAAAAATTAAAAAAGAAAAGGGAAAAAAAAAAGAGAGAGGGATTCAGACAGCAGAAACCTTCAGAGGATAAAGAATTCATCTAAGTTCACCAGTGGAGGACTGAAGGCCACCAGATGCAATGGAAACTTTTAAGCACAAAAAACCAGGTTATATGGATCCTAGCTGCTTAAGAAAAGTGACACACACATACACCTGCTTAAGAGGTCATCCACCTGACAGTAGCAACTGGTGGAAGAGGAATAACCAGCTGAGCAGACACCTTCCTACACAGGTATCTTTGCAAGACACAACTGTAACAAGGAAGTTTAAGGTATGGTGGTTAAGTCTGAAAAGCCAGAGAAAACAATAAAAAAAATAAAATAAAAAAAGCACCAAAGTTACCCTAGCTACAGAACTGAATGTGGAACACTTTCCATGCCTTTTCCTCATTATATTCCCGCCTCCTTCCTGGCAAGGCCATCTGCAGTCCTAACACAGAATCCAAGTGCAACCCTGCTACTAACACAGAGCGTTCACTCGCAGCCTGTCCTAAGCAGGGACATCCTGGCTTGCCCTGCATGAGTCAGGATTATCACGCCAGCACAACCCCCTGCCTCTGGGACACCAACCTTACAGCTAATTGCCACAGGAACACCATGTAGTTCCTGTAGGAACATCTAAACAAATTTAATGAGTTGTGAAAAACTCGTGGGATGTGTGTGTGAACAGAGACAAATGTACAGAAGGCAGGAGACTGACCCCTCAAATTCCATATTCAATGTGTCAAACTGATGTACAGGCATTTCCAAAAGCAGTCTAGCCAAGACGAGAGGGCGCTGATTAATTCACCTAAATTTAAAGTTATTCATCTCAATGGGTGTTAATTTTACATGGTAAAGAATGCGCACCTCAATTTCAATAGAGGCTTACAGCTGTCAGATATGCCAGAATCCTGCTTTGCTTTTAGTGTGCTGGGGCTACAGGAAGCCTCCTCCAGCACATCTGTCCAACAGCAGGACAGGATATCCTCCTAGGCCCTGCAGTAGCAAAGCAAGTTGCTCTACTCTCCTCCCCACAGGGCTGCCTGCAGACCAGGCAGCTGCCGGCACAGCCAGATCCAACTGATCGGCTGAAGTCCTGGTGAGCAGGACATCTCCCGCCCTGCTCCCGAGGGAAACACTCATGGCTGTAACCACCAGCTCCACTGCAAGGCTGCAATTCCCCTCCCCAAGCCCTGATTTTAGGTGCCAGACTGACTCTGCTTGCGCACCTTCCACGTAAACAGGAGGATCTGGCCCCGGCACTGCGGGATTACGGCGTCAGCAATGCTCTGTGAGCACAGGCCACGAACCAGCGCTGTTACAGCCTGACCCTGCTTTGCAGGGAGCTGTGGCCTAAAGCACAAACACGCTGTGCCTTATACCAGTGTGTTCATACACATGAGAAACACACATATAAAACACACTTTTACACTGAGCATTATAGCTCGGGCACTTCAGCTTTGGGAAGACACTAGGTACCAGCAGAGACACGAGTAACAGAGTTTTAACAGATCTTCACGTAGACCTGCATTTTCTTTAATCCCACTTGTACCAATAAAGCAGCTTCTAAAAGGGTTAATTTGCAGCATACAATGTTAGGATTAAGCCACATTTAACGGGAATCAGGTAGCTAAATCCCTCTTCATCCTCTAAAACAGGACCATGTAAGTTCAAACAGATGTGCAAGACAGATCAATACTTCGTAAGCTCTATGAACAGTGCTACGCTGATGTCCCACGCAATCTGTTCTGAAACACAAATTCCCAAACTCCACAGTGCACGCAAGGGGAACCTCCTCTTAACCTTTGGAGAGATTCAGCATCACCCGTTCATGAGATCGATTATCTGGCTTAGTATGGCAGAGGTGCAACAATGTAGCTGGAAGAGGGTAAGGTTACAGGCAGCCTGCCCTGATCCCAACATTATCATTCCATATAATTCAGCATGAGGAATTTTTCAAATGTTTCTATAATCGCATGTGACAGTAGCATAAGAAATGTGACCCACCATAAGGGGCAGGGGTGGGGATCAGTTTTTAGCTGAAGGGCTTTGAAAAGCAACATCTAGGTATATGCCAAATGAACTTTTTAAGTATAAATCACCTGAAGCTCCTGGAATCTGATATATTCACAGCTCCACAGGTTATATTCTCCAGGGACGTATGAGCAAACACTTTCAGAAGTGATGTATCCTTGCCACTATGGCCTTACCCTACCCTGGAGAAACCACCACTGTGTTGCTAAAGGCCAGTACGCTCTTCCAGGGCCTTCAGTTTCCAGCCTCTCTGCTGAGATAGCTGTCTCACATTAGCATTAAATGTAATGAAATTCTGTGTGATGTGGACACTTACCCAGTATAACCTTCCCCTGAAGTGCACATGAAGCAGTAAAAGCTTCACTGCTGCTGGATGTGGCTCACTGTGGTACTTCAGCAGCCCCTTTCTCTCCCCACAGCACAACACACCTTCCCCGGGGTGACACCTTTCGATGAGCACACAAAACACCGAGGCAATTAAGCTCCCTCTTTTCACCAAGATCACGCCTTGAGTGCCTGTAACCAAAGCACTTGCCTCAACTGCACAAGCTGCAGGCAAGGCTGAAAAGGGAGCTCAGCCTTCCTGCCCTTCCCGGCAATCAAGGAGAGATGAGTGTGCAAGGAAAGAGACCACGTAATTGTAATGTCACAGGCCTCCACTACCTGCTGTGTTTCACTGCTGGCACCCTTGTTTCCAACACTGGGGGCTGCCTAACAGGATTTTGCTGTTGTGTTTCAGTGCATGGTCATTTTGAATAGCCACAAGGCACTGATCTGTTGAAATCCTCTGTTCCTGCAAGGCAGTCACACATTTCCCTTCTTTCTTTTCCCACACAGGAACTCATGGATTGAAAGCCACACATGGGCCTGAAATTAAGAGTTCAGACCTCTTCCAGTTCCTCAGTGAGCAACTTGAGGCAGCAAACGGCATGGTATTTAGAATAGATTATTGGTTCCCAGTTCCTTTAAGGGGAAGAGAGAGGGATTTGTATTCAGTTCACAGTATTTCATCTTTAAGAAATTTTTCCCCACTAACTCTTTGCTCCTCTGTGCACCAGTCAAGGCAAGGAAGTGCTTCTCACACACTGAATCAGTCAGTGAGAGCTACCAAAAAGAGAGACAGATACTTTAATGAAAAGGCAGTAGAGACGCAAACCCAGTCTCTCCTTAATCAGATAACATACTGTCTTTTAAAGTATTAATCTGCAAGGACTGGGGCCACTGAGATAAATACCAAACAGAAAAAGGAGCCCTCAATAGCACATATGAGCTCCAGGATGGAAACTGTTAGTCACCCATCACCTAAATGCAAAAGTGAGGGCTGCCAGACTGCTCCTAACACTGAGACAAGAGCTCACAGATGCAGATGTAGCTCATGGAGGCTGCCCTATGGCTACAGATCCTGCACTAAGATAAATCTAATTCATAGAACTCTGCCCAGACTCTATAGAAGGATGTCCAGCTTGATGGTGAGCACAGCTCAAACAGCAGCATCTCCACTCTCCTTGTGACACCTGGATACTGCACAGGAAGGAAATGCTGAGCTGCTGCAATTTGGGTAAGATGCAGTCCTCATGTACTGCAAGTTATTAGTTCACTGGAGCTACATTTTAGTGAATGTGTATATGAACTAGCTGAACAAGCTGGGAGTTTCCACATGGAAGTATAATTAACCATTTCCCACAAGATTTAAACAAACAAACAAACAAAAAAACCACGCATCATGTCACAACTCATTTGGCTTGAATGGGACCAAGGTAGACAAAGGTCTCTCAGCAAAAAGGCAGCATGTTTTACAGCTCATCTGCCCTGACAGCAATCACAGGAGGGATTCCCACCTGGAAATACATTTGAACGTGGCTGAGAACCAGCCCTGCTTCAGCTGCAGGGAGTTCACTTTTCTGATCAAATTCTTCCTGCTAAAACAAGTCACAGGCACAATCGAACCATCTTACCTGTATCAAACCCAAAACTTGGCACAATGTCCACTGTTCCATGAAAGGCTCCAGCCCATGCTGAGGTAGCGCTGGTGACAGCAGCGGGGTCTGTCTTTGTCACGTCACACTGGGGAGCAGGAATCCTGGCTGCGCGGACTGACGGCATCAGCAGGGACCCGTAGCGGGGGTCGCGGTGCGAGCTGGGATGGTGATGGTGCATGTGTGGATGGGGGTGATGGCGATGCATGTACACGTCATGCATGTGTGCATACGAAGGGCTCACCTGAGATGCTAAAGGATAATGCCAGGATTCGGAGGCAGCAGGGGGAGGAGGTGGGGCAGTCTGATGAAGGCCGTGTCCTGGCCAGCTGCTGGGATCTGGTGTTGGGAAGGTGCCTGGTGCAGTAACGGGGAAATCAGGGTGTACTCCACTTAAGCATGGTGGAGGAGGAGGCTGATAAGAGCTGGTCCAAAATGAAGTTGGGAAACTGCTCCTTTGGCTTGAAATTGTTGAGCTTTCTGGCAGAGAAGAGAGAAACGAAGTATCACTGAAGCTGAACGACACATTCCACGACAAAACCCTCCAACTCAAAATTCCTCAGTAATTATAGAAATCACAGGACATCTGAGCTAAGGGGGGACCTCTTGAGATCACCCAGTCCAATTCCCCTGCTCAGGTGGGGTCATCTGGAGCAGGCTGACCAGGACTATGTCCAGTCAGATTTTAAATAAGATCCAAACTCCACAGCCTCTCTGGGCAAACTTTTCCAGGTTTTAGCCACCCTCAATTTAGCAATTACAAAAAAAACCCAACCCAAACAAACAAACAAACAACCCAACAAAACAAACAACAAAACAAAGGAAAATATATATAAAGAGTTTTACTGTTTTCTGATGGAATTTCCTGTTTTCTAATCTGTGCCTACTGCCTCTTGTCCTGTCCCCAAGCATTGCTGAGGAGAGCCTGGCTTCCCCATCTTTCTCATTTCCCCCTCCCATCAGGTTTTAAACATATTGGTAAGATCCTCCCAAAGAATATTTTTCTTCTTCAAGCTGAAGAGTCACAGCCCCCTCAGGATCATGGTACAGGAATTATGAGGAGAGGCTAACTCCTGACCAGTCTAGACCCTATCATTTAGAAAGGTAGTTGTTGTGGCTATAAATGCATCCGAGGACAGAGAACCAAGTCACATTGCAGAATAGGAGACATTTGGCCAAAGGAAATACACCAGATTTTCTCAAACTAATTGTATGCTTTTATGGGATAAAGATCACATCTAACACATCTTATGTTAGCCCCTTACAGAATATATCACATTGCCCTGTACCCAATAGGATCATACAAGCAGAAACCTCTATGTAGCTCAAAGAGGTTTTGGTCAGAAAGAAAAGACTCACTGCTTCTTACAGCTAGGGCTCAACTTTTATTTAAATGGACTCAAATACTTCTACATTATGAAATCACATTCTAAAAATTCCTCTCTTGAAGGAGCGGTTACTGTTTTTGATGTGTAGGGAACTACTGGCACCTCCATTCTCACAATCCTCTTGCCAGCTCCTGTTAGTACTGCTTCATGCAATATGTCTCAGCTCAAATAGGGGTTTTTTTGCTCGAAGATGGAAACATAAAAATACACAACTTCACCTCTGATGAAAGAGTAGTCATAAAAATAGCCTATGGAGGAATAAAGCCAAGGAAGTTTAATATCTGATGAGGCGAGGAATCCTCTGTTCCTCATATAACTTATAAAAATACTTTTTTTTTTTAAATGACCTTTCATTTTGCTTTGTTTAATAAGCAACTGGAATGAGATTTGGGTGAAGAGACCATTGAGAATGAACAGATTCTCCAAATGCTCCTGCCTCTGAACTTTGCTTATACAAAAATATTTTGGAAACCAAAACTTAGAAGTGTTTTCTGACTGTATCACTTGGACAACTCACCCCTCTGTTTTAAAATCCACTAAAATCATAGTATTTTTTCTACACATCAATTGGCTTTGATTTACGCACTTTATTGAGTCTGATTGACTTCCTATATTGGAAATAAACCCTGCAAACACACCATGGACAAACACAGAGGATGTTTTGGGTCAAAGTGCTTCAGAGGCTGCAAGCTTATCTGGCAAACAGTACTCCAATATGATTTTCTGCAAAAGTTTGGGCTGCTTTTAGAGATGTATTTCTATTGCAACTCATGCTTGAAGACTGGAGAGAGCTTCAAGCATGTTACAGAAGCCTCAACATCCCTCCAAAGTTGGTATTGTTGCTTGTTTGTAAATCATTCCTTGTTAAAAGGGATTACACTGAGATGGAGAGTGTTCATGGTGATGTCAGCATGGCTGACATCAAAAAAAAAAGCAAAACCAAACTTCTCCATGCCCAGTCTTTTGTTTTCCACACTAACTTAACAGAGGAGCACAGCTTGACAATGTTTCACCAGTATTCTGGAAACATAACCTCTGTAATCGAGAGTTTTTGTAAACTATCTGGCTGTTATCTGCATGGAAAAGCCCTAAATCCAAAGCATTGCACTTCAAAAAAGCACAGAAAACCACAAAGTATCTGCAGGACAGCTTTCATACCAGGAGAGAACACTTTAAACCGCTGGATTTGCCAATATGAATTCATCCCAGATTGCATAACAGCTTGGCTTTACCAATCATGAAGGAGGTCTACGCTACAGAAAACATGTTTGGCCACCTCCATTTTTCAAACCTGTGCACATTTCACAAAGCCGCTGCTGCTGCCAGAAACTGCCATGGACCAGCCCCCACCAAGACATCACTGAGTGTAGCAGCAGAGGCCAAGCTCACTGCTCAAAGCCAAGTCATGTCACTGGAGACACAGGGTCCATCCAGATTATACAAACATGCCAGAAAATTTCATCCATCCCGAGTGCTCAGAGATACCCAGCCTCTATGGAACACGGCAATGGAGAAACAGCCATTTCTGCGTCGTCCTTGAAAAAGAAAAATAAATAAAATCTCTGCAGCTTGCATGGGCTTTCAGGGGGAGAAGGGAAGGAGGCATTTAACAAAAGCTGTTTGCCAAGAAAGATCCTTCAGTCACCACAATTTCCTACGCTGAGTACAGGGAGGCAGGGAGATGGCAACATCTCAGATACCACGAAGTGGTAACCGATGCAAATGTTCGTGGTGGCCCGACCGACACGCACCGAGAACGTGCCAAAGAGCACACGCTGTGAAGGAGACAACGTATGGAACTTCCTGCAGTACAACACTGCCTCTCAGTCAAGGCAAGAGGAAAGAAAAATAAGAAAGTAAAACAACCTTTCAGCTAGGAAAAACATGTTGATAAAAATACCATTAAGGTCGCATCGGTTTCAAGGTGTCTTTAGTTACATTAGCACCTGCAAAAAGACTGCAGGTAGCTACATCTAAAATTGAATATTCAAAGTCCATGGATCCTATTGTAGGGAACTATATTTTATTAATAAAAAAAAAAATCAGTTTTCAAGTTAATGTAAACAAATAAACTCATCACATATGTATTTTCAACACACAAATGATGAAAACCTGTTCTTTTCAGGACAACGGGTTCCATTTTTTCTATGTAAGCAATATCCCTCTCCAAAACAAAATAAAAAAAACAACCAATCAAACAAAAAAAATCCCAATAGCACTGCAATGATAAAATCAGACTTTGTGTTTTCATCAGGGCACATTAAAAAAAACAAACAAAAAAACCCCAAAGTCAAAGACGGAAGGAGAAAAAAGGGCAAAAACCATTACTAATCCCTCCTTTCAGGTAAAGGAGAAAACAGTGAACTGGGGAGTCAGTTCATCCTCACACACTTCCCCCTTAAATCCATACCTTCCAAAAATATATGTTGCAAAAGGTTTTTTTCCTTTTTAATTTATCTTTGAATAACAAATTGACAAAAATTCTGACTACCCAGGAAGGTCATTTATAAAAGAACTTCCAACTAACGGTATTTTAATCTCTTTAGGTAATGGGATACAAATTCACATTCACAGAATCATAAAACCGTTTGGGGCTGGGAAGGGACCTTGAAGATCACCTAGTGCCTACCCCCTGCCATAGGCAGGGACACCAACTAGACCAGGTTGCTCAGAGCCCCATTCATTTGCTGTTAACTGAACATCTTTGAATACTATCTAAAGCAGAAGGCCAAGATATTGGCATCTTTCCTTCCCACTGTTTTCAAGCAGGCATATTTCAGGAACTCATTTGGGCCTGATAAAATTATTGCCAGCTTCTCTTCTCTCAAGTAGCAAATGCCCTCAGGTCTCTCAGCGTCCACAGCCCTGCCCAGTAGCCTCCCTGGGGATTTTCATACCACTTCAGCAGGTGCAGCAACAGCAAAGGGCATATCTCCTTACTTTATTCCCAGAAGACTTTCAGGACATGCAGACCTCCATTCCCCACGGAGGGCATGGGGCACATGGGGTTAGGAGGCATCGTGGCTGAAGAACCCTTATACCAGGCCACCCAGCCCCCTGCAGAACCCTCTACGGATGGTTGTGCAACCACAGGGGGACACAGGGAAAAAGAGCTGGGTCTGTCTGAGGTCAAAGAGAAGACACACAACCCCTGGTATGTCTCTAAGTGCAGTGAAGAGGGCTTGCTATGGGGACGAGGTCTCTGGGGACTGCCTTGATCCCATCTCTAAAACATTTATAGCCTGTCTGGGCCATTTATAAATGCTCCAGTCTCCTTTTTAGTAAGCATAGGTTCAATCCCGCTCTCAGTCGAGTCAACGGAAAATTTCCCATTAACGTTAATGGTCCCGGCTCAAGCCATAAATTCCTCTAGCTCCCTAGCCACTTGTGCTGACCTTTGCTTAAACTTCCTCGGATTTGTCATCATCCTTTTGGAAAGCAAGTCCTTCTGTGCTATTTTTCTCTCCACAGTAGTTTCCAAAAATCCCATCTCTTTAATTCACTAATACGGTCTCACCTCAACGTCGCTGATTATGAGCACCACTGCTCCCATACAGATCCCACTGCTATCTCTCTCACTCAACCTGATGCAAGGCCACTGCTAATGATGCTTAGTTTGTGTCCCTCTGCCAGTCCACATAAGGATGTGATCAGAAATAATACAGCTGTGGATCTGAAAAACTACCCACACTGCCACATTCAACAAAATGGAAATAGCAACTTACTGGCAAGGCTTTCTTCAGTCACCAATTCTGAAATCTCACCTGTAAGGTCTAACTAGCGTATCTGGCAAGATCTGCTCTCTGTTACACTGATGCATATAATGCACATAAGCATTTATATGCATAACAAGACAGAAGTGCTATGACACCGTGCAAATGCCTCGCAGAACCTACCATGTTTCTACTCTCTGCTTGGAAGCAGAGTAGTGTCACCCCCATTTTGCATGCAGGAAGCTGTAACATCGGCCATACCTCTGCCACAAGCAGGCTGCAATGCACCACACCACATGGCTGCAGCCACAAGGGCCAGGGCTTGTCCCCCAGCCTATTCCAGCCTGTGCTGGCTCCTCCCCACTCGAAAAGCAGCTGCGGATGAATCCTAATCACCTGGCAAAGTCACCCGGGAGGGCTGCATAGGTTTCCTCACGTCCAAGGCCAGAATCCCAAACAGCTTTGCTCTTTCCTCTCAGGCCAAGTTTCACACTTGGAGCTTAAAAAAAAGAGCCTCCAACCTTGCAGGAGACGTTTGTGAAGCTGCGTGAGCTCTGCCCCATCCCATCCAGGCCTTGGCAGAGACAGGGGTTATGGCGAGAGCGGGAGGCGCCTGCTTCTTCCATGCCTTTGGCACCTATCTCCCCCTTTAACACTTCGGATCACTCAACCCCAGAAGCTCCACGGTTCTTTCAAGTTTGAGGGAGAATTTTCCACCTCTCCAGAGGAGTGAAATTTCAGCTGCAATGCAATGCGTGTTACCGCGACACAGACCGAGTAAGCCACGCCACAGAGAGCAAGTTACTGCTCCTCTTACCTCTCCACAGAGGACTTAGCCCTGTCTTGCTCTTGGTAAGGGCAGTTTCTGAATTGAAGCTACTGGCTTGGCTCAAAGCTCTTGAGAAGTGTTCATCCACTACAGAACCAATGTCTCCCTGGAAGTAAGTGAACAGGACGCAGCGCGAGTTAAGGTACTCCATCTCGGCAGGCTGGTCTTTCTCATCCTCCTCTTGCTTGCTGGGAAGGGTCACTTCCAGAGATTCCTGCATCTTGTTGTACACAGCTAATTTCTTCTGGGATTAAAACCAGAACAAACGAGATGTATCAGTGATGGCATTCAGTGGAAGATCAACATATGGTTTCTTTAACAAAAAATAACTGAACACACTGAATATTTATTTCATAATTTAAGTGAGACTACCAGGATATTTCACACTGGCATTTTACAAAGAAGAGAATACCAGCACCCACTTATGACTCTCTAACCCTCTCAAGCAGATGGACCTGCTTCTCAGGCATGTTTCACAACTGCAATCTATCAGCTAGAGCTTTCACCAATACTTTCAAAAGAAAACAGACAGGCTCTAACAATTCCTTCCTGACTCCCACCTGGAGAGGATATTCCCATTAATGAAGGCTACAGAGGTTGAGTTAAGCTCTGTGCAAGGGTGTCCAGACAGAGGGTGCCAGCATTTCACCCACCTGACCGAACATACACTAGATTTTGCCGGCTGCACTCCCCAAGTTGAGCATACATGGCCCTCGGGACTCCCCACATTTATCCACTTATGAAGAAGTAAAGATGGGAGAATTCTGTGGTTCCGAAATTAATAAATTTTCACTTGCTGCCAAGAAAATTTTTATCCCATGAAGCTATACTTTAGGGTAGTGATTGGGGTTTGGCTGGGGAGTTGAGGTATTTTGTTTTGGTTCGTTGGTTGGTTTGGGGTGGTTTGCTGTTGTTTTGAGGTTGGGGTAAGAGGTGGGTTTATTTTTCCCCCTTTTCCTTTTTTCTTTTTGTTTTTTAAAGACAAGGTTCTGGGAAAAAAAAGGACAAGAATTCAAGTAATAAGAAATTAAACGTGTGACCAGGGGAAAGAGAGGGATTGATAAGTTTGCAAACATATGCAAAAGAAATGCACCCCAAACCAAAAACACAGAGAAGCATTTAAAAAAAAAACTTAAACCTGCACAAGCCATCTGTGAATGACTATTTCAGAATCTTCTCTCTCCCTCTCTCTCAAATCAAACCTAAATGTCAAAATAAATGTGTGTGAAGATTCATTTTGCATGGAACATATTTTTCAGATGTTCCACTTTACAACTGTTTTCACAGAAAAAAAACTTTCCCCACAACAGTAAAGCTGCAGGAATCACAGCTTTTAGCTAGCCAGCCATTTCCACAGCTGACTTTGCACACAAGCACTTTCAGGAACCCAAAAACAACTACAGCACATATGCAGAAGTATTTCATAGGATTTCTATAGAATTACAGTTTGACTTCTCTTTAATGGTTTGCTTGGCAGCTCTCTAGTGCCATCAGAATCTCTTTAGGTTTATAGCTTTTTTACCCTTTTTCCAAAGCAGTTCTATAGGAAAAGTTAAACAACTGTACAGCCTATAAAGTTTCATTTATACAATAAATACACACATCCTAGTTAAAAATAATTGAAAGTAATTTCCTGATCTTATGTACCATCAATACATTTACATTCAGTGCTTTCTAAAATCATATTAGCCGATACAAATTCTCTCATTGTAATACAAAACAAATACCCTACAAAACAAAATTCTAATTATGAATGGTTATTTAAAAAAAAAAAAAAAACCTGTAAGGAAGAGCTACTGACAAGTGGAATTAAAACCTATAGTACTAAAAGCTCATAACAACTAAAGGATCTATGTGACATTCCAGGAACAGATAAATGTAAACTATTTATCATGTAAAACAATTTATCATAAACCATTTATTATGTAAACCAAATGTAATACCATTAATTCAGATGCAATGAGGGACATACATAATTTTATTTCAGTTTGAGATATTCAGGCAACAGGCTGGAATTCAAGTAAATCTGTGCTTCACTTATTTAGACTTTCGGTTTTATCCCAAGATCCCATAATACATAAAAAAACCTCTGGGATTCACTCATAAAAAACCAAACCAAACCAAACAAACAAAAGGAAAAAGCAAATTAAGTTTTACTAGAAACCCTAAAATTCACTGAAATTGTTAAAACGAAGTACAGTCTGAAGCTCTGAAACATATTTTTGCAAGCAGAGAATCTGGGGTAACCCTTTTTTTTTTTTTTTTGGTAAATGCTCTCTTTATTTTTTACAAAATTTACATCTCCTAGTATTTTTTCCTGAAATGAAACAAATGGAAAATGAAATGGAAAATTTGTTCCTAAGGTACCACTCACAGCAAGCTTCACAGCTTTGCTTAGGTAGTCACAGAACAATGAGACTTGAGTAAGACAGAAATGGTTATAACAACATGGCATATCTAGGAAATTGAAACACATTTGAAATCTGTAATGAATCTACCTCAGTGACTTCATCATTCTTAAAGGTGCACCATAACCCAGAGCCTCTTAAAAATGCAAGACAAGTGGTTGGGGAGGGTGGTTTTCTCATTTTTGGTTACGGTTGGGCTTTGTTTTTTAAGTAGAGAACAAAGCATGAGAGACCTCTACAGAAGTCTAAACAGACACTGACTTATTACATCATCTCAGGTGTGAGTGTATGTGCCAGACCCTGAATAATGTAACACACTTTAAAAGTTGACTTCTGTCATTACAGGTACAGTACTTGCATTTATCCTGCTGTTATGCAAATGCACATACAAGCACACAATTATATACAGAAACACACTGTTTAATACAGCCCCTGGCTTGACTTGGTTATCAGGAAGGAAGTCTTTCAATGTTCCTATACAGGGACTGGAGCTCAGGAAATTAAAACTTATCTCCAGAGTTGCTTCTCTGTGCAGGAATGTTCCCCCTTCCACAGCCTAAGAATCTAATTCATTTTCCATTTCAACTCTCTTCCCTCCCCTCCAGTCCATGGGCAGTCATTACAAGATGCTCTGAGCACTTTCTTCTTTCAAAAACACCAAATCTGACCTTTTTTTAAATGTAAAAAAAGATGGTAGGACTGATGAACAAGTACAAGGCCTTGTGCATGGTTTGAAGTTACTTACAGTGAAAGGTTTGTGTTTTGTGGTGAGTTTTCTGCAAACGACAAGAGTTCTAAATTAAAAGATTTTTCAAAACAGCATCAAGCCTGTGATCAGACATGGGTATAATTAAATTATATTTCAGGAAGAAATTATCAGCCTGTAATTGCAAAACTCTTTAAATAAGAAACTACAGTGAGATAAAGTGACTCAATAACTTTTCCTTGTTTGCAATGTATATACATCCTTTACATTGTATACATCCTCTAACAATGTGGGGGTTTTTCCCCCAACTCACTTAAAATAGTCTGTTTGCACACAAATTCCATCATTTTTGTTCTGACCTTAGCAGTAATCCTCTCATAGCATTTCTGACTGCACTTGTGTGAGTGGAAAAGTATGCAAGATCATCAGCTGCTAAATGAATTTGTCCCACCATCATGGGGTGTGAGGGAATAAAAACAAAAAAACCAAACATCAGGTTAGGTTTCTGGTAACCAATCTGGGCCGGTCCAGTTTCACTTGTACTTTTTCATATAAACAGTTCTGGCATATATTTCAGCAGCCAACAGTGCCTGTAGATCACAATGCTATCCCTTGTCAGTGTTCGATACTTTTATATTAAGGAAGTCCACCTCTCCCTTCCTTACAAATTAGAGACTGATATCAAGCAGCCTCTGAAAAAAAATAAAACAAAACAAACACACAAAATCTTATCTTGGCCAAAACCCAGAATACAGAAGTAAAAGTCAGCTGAGCGTACTAGGAAATAGGGAAATTCAGTATCTATAGCACCTGATGCCAACTTACACAACAGACCCATGGCTGAAAAGGCACAAGCTCTGCATAAATAGTGCTGTACAGCATGGGCTGAACCCATCCTCAACCAACACTATTTTTTTAATTTATTTCATATATTTACAAACAGGCTCTTCCAAAGAAAATTTAAATCCTTAACTGCAAGTTGTATAAGAAAAGGAAACTAAAGATAAATAGCACATCACCACTGATATGGGAATATTAAAGAGTAGGTTTAAGCTGAATGAGCATCATCCTGTCTTCTAAAGAACACTGACCGCTTTTAAAAGCTTGTGGTCCAAAAATCTCACACAAAATCTTCTCCTTGAAGATTCCTGTTATTTTCTGACATGCCGTACCCAGAACCAAGTGAAACGGTTCCCATGCAGTGAAGTGCTGGCCACATTAAAGCCAGTGGCAAAAGTCCAACTGACTTCAAGGGTCCCGGATCTCACCCAGGGTGTCTGGTAAATATGTCAGAACATTCCTCCTTGCAAATTGAAATAAATCCCCTTCCAGCTGAAACCAGCGAGTAGGCAGAAAAACAGAAACAAATAAACAAACAAACAAACCAAACCACACTTGAGAACAGAGAAAGTCTTACTTTAGCCAAGTTTGAATCAAAAATTCAGGCTAGCTCTTATTTTTCATATAAGCTGGTTGCCTATTCCTACAACTTATTATGTCCATACATGCCATCATAACAGCATATGGTCCTTTATGCTCCCAAGCACGAAAGCCTGGTGTGCCTGTGGCCACCTGTTACAGATTTTCCATTATGAGAGAAAGAACAGGAACCAAAAATAAAGAATAACTACACTGGGGAAACACTATATGACCCTGTCCTGAGAAAAAGGCTGTCGTTTGACATAAGCTTCTGAGAAGGAATTCCAGCAACAAACTCAAGGCAAATCACGGACAGTCCCTCCATTTGTGGAGCTGCCTGTCAAGCAGGCTCCTATTGATAACACAGAAAGTATTCAAGGAGAAAGACAATTTCAAGCAATCAGGCCATCAAATGCTGGGCCTGAAAGCAGTATTTATGGCATGCCCTGAAAACATGAAATGATAACTTCTACCCACAAAAATGAGCAAGGCAAGAGCTTGTTTTCAGGAGAGCCCCTGAATTTGCAGCAGTAGAGCCTGCAGCTCCTGCTATGCTCTGCTAATGGAAGGAAGTGGTGAAAAAGGAATTAATTGATACATCTTTTGCTGTACATGCAAACAGAGATGTACCAATCAAGTCTAAAGGTCTATTTTTATGTAGGTAGGGGAAGATCAGGTAGAATTTGGTCCCAATTGCAGTGACAGAGTAAAGCAAAACAAACTTTTAAAATCAGTAGTGTCTTGTAGAGTTAAACCAAACCAACCAAACCAACAAAAACCCACACGTAGGGGAAGACTTAATCCAAGTTTTACATTCAGCAATTCTGAGAGTAGCCTTTAAAGGTGAGTTACATAGGTCTGATCCAGCTTCCAGAGAAGTCAGCAGCACAGCAAACAGCAGGCCTCAGGACTAGCCTTGAGAAAGAATCTGAACTGCAAAAGCTGAATGTGAAGCCATGCTCTGCCATTATGAGCTGTTAGACACTGCCACACAGCACAAGCAGTATAATAAGCACATCCTCAAAAGTGGTAAGCTCATGATTCAAAGAACTTTACTGAAAAAACAAGTTACAGTCTGTGAACTGGGGTTTAGCTACAGCCAGCTGACACAGCATTATACGTGACCTGTCCTTGTCTGCAGTGCTGTTAGTTTGGAAGGAAGAGCTGAGTTAGTGACCTAATTTGCTAATGAAGACAAGCCCTTATCTAGAAAAAGTCTGTCTAAGGCACTGCCAGCACTTGAGAATATCACAAGTCTTTATGCAAGACTCTGATTTAGCAAGGACGGTGTTGGCTTAGATGTTGGTTCACATCTACATACCATGGAGAAATTCCAAAACTACCATTTTACTGCAACTTCCCATTTCAAAAGTCTTAAGCTCAGGTGTAAGTGAGCCAGGGTGAACCCTGCCTTAGCCTCAGCTCTGCAGCTCGCTGTACCTGGCCTGACAGGACATGACAATCTGTCAGGGTGTCTCACATGCGCTGAGAACACAATGGGATTCTTCAGCAATTATGTGTTTCCAAAGTCTCGTCGAATTCCGTTACACCCATTCCTCACCCAGCCCATAGGAAAGCCAAAACTTACTCCTGCAGCTGCACAGCCCCTCAGGAAAGCACACCATGAAGGGTGTTTTAACTTTGCCATCCTGCAGGGTTTTACCCTCACGCAGGCACAGATCCTCACCGGACACAGAAACGCGCTCGTATTCTGACACCGGCACACACTCGCTCCGCCTTTTGGCAAAGTATGGAAATCCTGATTTATCTGTAAAATTAGGGCCACACCCCATTTTCATCAGTTCCTTCTGGCACCATATGAGCAGGTATACAAACCACATTCCCCTTACCTCCCTCTGGCAAACACCCTGGACTTGAGCAATCTCAAAGATCTAAGGTGCTAAGCCTCCACTCCCATTAACATTCAATAGGAATTTAGGCTTCAGTCCATTAGGGGCTTTAAAATAAAATCCCACCTAAATTAATTTGCCAGCAAGTTCTCTCCTGGCTAAGGATCGGTGAAAGTTAAGTTTCCAGAAATTCTGCCTTCCTATGCAAGGAAAAAAATCAGTTCTGTGCTGATTTTAAGGAAGGGAAAAATACAGACGCAGAAACGTAGGAATAACTTTAGATTGGGGAAACTTGAAAAAAGCACGATGAACCATCCCCTAAAGAGAAATTTCTGCACAATCCAGGTGCACATTAGTCCATCATTTAAAAACAGTCCAAAGGCTCTCATTAAAAACAAAGAAAGAAACAAACAAAACAAGACAACGAAAAGGAGACAACCATTTGAACCCCCTTCGCTGCAGAACAGCGACACAACACCAGCCCCTCGCTGAAGGCACTTCATGCAGCAGGAGACCTACAGAAACACGAAGAGCTTGGCTCTCCAGAGACACCACAGCCCAGAACTTGAGCCTGTACATCTGGAAGGGCAGCTCCACAGCTAAGGAGCTGCTTTGCTCTTTAATGGATATGGAAGTGCTGCGGAAAGCTGGCATAACCCATTACATGTTTGAGATGGCTCTACTGCAAACACCTGAGAAGATGCAAAAGCTTTAGTTATAGTAACACACCTACATCTCTCACTGAGAAGGAAAGGAAAACCAACAGGAGGAGCTTTCTCTCACAAAACAAACCAAAAGACACCAGAGTAGAACACCACCACTGAAAAATGCTTCAGTGGAGTCACTGGATATTCTAAGGGTGAGCTCCACTTTATCAGCTCCAATGCACAGCCTTATTTCTAAGATATCCCACTAATTCATCTTCCCTGTTATTTTTAAACCACAGTTTTAATTCCAGCAAAGAGGAACATTCTTTAAAATGGTCATCATCCTCACGAAGAGCGCAGCAGCATTTTACATGTTGAACACATGTGTAAGAAGAACCAAAAACCTGGCAACAGATTCTTCATCCTTCCTTCTTACGCTCTCTATCAGTTGACTAAATGTCTCTGACAGGACAATTCTGAAGGAACAGAAGAGATTTGCAAAATGTCATACATTACCCAAACAATAAATCTTTTCACTACGAATACAGATGCATGAGGAGTTCATTCTATGTTTACTTTATTAATTTAGAAAACATCGGATTCAGAGAAAATACATAAACTGCTCTAAAGTTAGCAGCTGCTAGAATCAGAGGGTGCAGCACTCTTAGTTCAGCAGCAACAGCTCAGTTTTTCAGTCTGACATTTAACCAGACTGTGAAGACCCTCCAGCTTCAAGTACTTCAGGAAAACTGGTGCAAACAGGATTAACTAAACCAGATTGTCAATAAACGTGTAGGATAGCCATGTTTAGAAAGTTCTTAGGTGGAAATGGAATATGTGGTGTCAGCCAAGACTCATAAGCTGTCCTGGTTCATCAGAGCTATCTATGTTTCTTGCCATGCTTATCTACCTCCACTTGTTAAATAACATAATCCACAGTTTATCTAAAATGATTTCAATAAATTTTCGTTTGTATTACGGTGCCTCTGGGACATTTCATATATGGTGAGGGAGAAACTTCATGATTATGCTTAAAATCAAAAAGCAATTGCACTTGAGCATGACACAGCTGCTAACGATCATTTAATAGATTTTTACATATTATGTGTTCTATAAATCTGGAAGAGAAATACAGATCATCACCCCAAGAGTTAAATGTCAAAAAGCTCAGCAAAGTTTCAATTGCAGTTTTCTACTTCTAGGTCTCTTGTCAGAGAGTCAGGTTCTTAGAGATTATTTATTTATTTTCCGTCCGAATCACACAGGCTAACAACTGGAGCTCCACACATTCAAATACGAAGTTCATAAGTAAGATTATTGAATAGATAAAAGGTTCTGCAAGCTGTGACCTAGATAAGAGGAAAAAAATAATTGCGAAGGCAGGATGCAACAGACAGAACTCACAAGTTTTCCAGTGAACAACGTGAGCAACCTGGACAAGTTCACTGGGGTATCGTTTCTGCGAACAGGCTCTGTCTCCCAACAATAAAGGAAAAAAACAGCAATACACGATAGGAATTTTAATGTTTTAGCCCATACTCGTGTCTCCCAGGCAAGTTGATATTAGGGGTCACTTCCCATGTACGGAGAAAACAATCTTCACGGATAATAATGATAAAACCTTATGGAATGCAGCAACAACCAAAAAATGTATTCTCAGATGACTACATTAGGGCCAAGTCAATATTAGTCCCACTTCACCCACGCACTGCATAGTCTAAAAATGCTGTCAGCCTGATAAGAATTTCCTGATTCACTTAAAAATTAAAAAAAAAAAAAAAAAAAAAAAAAAAAAAAAAGAAAAAAATCTGATCACCAAGTTCAGCTGGAAACCCGCCGGAGACGATCCTCCAGGAGCGCCGGGGCGAGTGGCGCGGCGCGCCCCGTCCGTGGGGAGCAGCGCGGGTCCCCTCCCGCCGGCGGAGGTTCCGCCCGTGTGCGCGCCCGCGGGGCGAAGGCGCTGCTCGGTGCCCGCAAAGGGAGGGTCGTCAAGTAAGCAACGACGGCGGAGAGAAGAGGGAGGGGAGGGGAGAGAAAAAATAACTTTTTGCCCCTCTGCCCCACTCCCGCTGAGCAGGCCAACAGCCATCCCCCCAAAACACAAGTATTTTGGGGGAAAATATTTTTGTCGTTTGAAAAAAAAAAAAAAACCAAGCCTTACCAAGCTCCGTTGCTCTGGGGCACCCTCACCAGCTCCCCGCATCTCCAAATCAGGCCGGGGGCTGCAGAGCGCATCGCTGGCTGGCCGGGGCCGAGGTCTCCGCCCCGACCAGCCAGCGATGCGCTCTGCAGCCCGCTGACGGCGGTGGGGAGTGCGGAGGAGGGGGGAGGGCACCCCAAAAAAAAATCTCCCCTCCACCTCCCAGCCCTCCCCACCGCAGCGCCTCACCTGCGCGCATCCCGCCGCGGGCGCGGCCAGATAGCGGGGCGCGCCGCACGCCGCCGGGGCGGGCTGCTGCATGGCCACGTCCGAGCAGCTCATGGCCGCGGCCGCCCCGCGCCACCGCCTTCTGCCCCTTCCTCTTCTCCCTCTTCCTCCTCCTCCTCCTTCTTCTTCTGCTCCTTGTCCTCGGCGCGGGGCGGCCCCGGCGAGGCGCCGCGCAGCGCCGGCCGCCAGCGCATCTTCAGCGGCCGCCGCGCCCCGCGCCCGCACTTATAGCGCGGCGCTGGCGGCAGCGCGGGGAGCCCCGGCGGCCGCGGCCGCGGCAGAGCCGGGAGGGCGGGGACCCCACCGCGCCCCGCCCGCCGCTCCGCGGGCGCGCAGCACCTGCCCCTGCCCCTGCCCCTGCCCCTGCCCCTGCCCCTGCCCCTGCCCCTGCCCCTGCCCCTGCCCCTGCCCCTGCCCCTGCCCCTGCCCCTGCCGCGCCTCCCCGTCCCTGCCGAAGCACCGCACGGGCAGCCGCGCGTCGGCTCTCCCCGCAGCAGCGGGAAGCGTCTCGTGTGCCGGGTTTTCGGTCCGTGGGAAGCTCGGCTAAGCCTGAGCAAGGTGACACCTGTGTCTAGCCACGCTTCCAGCTCCCGAAGGGTTCGTCCTGGAAATTCATCGATGAGGAAGGAGGAACCTGCTCGTTCCATACGGATGGATTGTTGGCTAGCCCGGAGATTCTCTTCCCTCCCCACATTTGGTCCACAATGTTTTTTTTGAAAAAAAAAAAAAATTAAGTGTACTGTTCTCCTTGAAAACCCAGGATCTGGTTGTGATGGTTACGGTCATATTCAAAACTATTCATATTCACAGATATTCGTGGCCTACCTCTGTGTGCACATTTCTGCCAGCGAGCTGCCCCTACTGCAGTCCCGCACCCAGAGGCTTTCGATGCCATTCCTCACATGGAAAAGACTATGCATATGGCTTGTTAGCATTATTCCAGCTTATGAGCCTGGGAATGATTTACACGTGTTTGCTCATGTAATTCTTCTCATTTTGCCTAAAACTAATTACTGTTTCAAGTTTCTTTTTCACGAAATTTGTTTTTTGAAGTTTACCTACCTTTAATAGTGGCCAGAAATTGAAGCCTTCAATCAAAAATTCTAAATTTGTACTCTCTCGCTCTCCCTCTTTGTATATATACACACACAAACACACACACATCTCCTCAGCCAGAACAGTTAGATGAATACACAAGGTTAAAATAGCTCTGTCTGACCCCAGTAGGATTCCCTGTTTATAGAAAGCATTTCTCCAAAACATTCAACTGCAATACTTTGAACAAAGATCCAATTTCCTGCAGGAGTGTTTAGTTTCTTTTTTTTTATTTATTATTTTTCCTTTTTTTTTTTCTTTTTTTTCTTTTTGTAGGTTTTGGGCATACAGATTTTAAGGTCAGTATATACTTTTTTAATATCATTCTGATAACTTGTTCCTGTTGCATTTTGTATATCTGTGTAAATGGATTCAATCCAAACTGTTAAACTCTGCAGTCACTCAGAAGTATCTGAGTGGGTACAACACACTTGCAGCATACACTTTGCTGTACCAAATACACAGACTTCTGAATGGTTTCTTTGCAAAAAACAGAAAATCCAAGTGCTGATTGCTGCCTACAAATCTCTGCTCGATCTGGGCCCTATTAATTTCAAAAATCTCTTTCCCCCCTCATTTCCTACTGCAACAACAAGCCTAAGGCAGAACATTATCCCGACGGAAAGGTTTGCAGGAGCCGGAGGCCGTCGGTCGGCAATAACAAGTACCACCTTCTGAAGTTCGCTGTTCCTGGACACGAGCCTGATCCTGACCTGGAGGTTTTTACCGCAAGCATATGGCCAGGCTGCCTCCAGGCATTCCTCTGGCCGCCCTGTCTCCTGGCACCCGGCCCCCTCGCATTTGGACGACTGGCTGCTATCCACCCTCGCAGATCCTCTCAGGGAAGCTTGTGCCGCTCGCCGCAGAGGATTGTGAAACATGTTTCCTGTTTTAGGGAAAATGTTGTTTAGCACCATTCTGTCTGAGGTAAAACGCTTTCAGATGCAAAGGCAATGAGGCCTGATGCTAGTTTATAAAAAAAACAAAAAAAAAAAACTCAAAAAAAACCAGAGCAACACCCTCCTTAATAACGCATTTAATAGCAGTAACCAAACAAGCCTGTAAAATCACAAATATAGAAACAAATTCTTTCAATACCAATTGATCATTTTTAGGAGAAAATCCAATATCGGTCCTTAAAGCAGAACAGACCAAAACAGAGAATGATTTATCATCTACTATGTTAATGTGACACATTGAAGTGGGAGGACATTAGTGATCATTTTTCACCCAAGTACATGAGGCACTTCCAAGAGGTTTATAAATGCACTAACACAGGGATCACTGTTTTCCAGAAGATGCCAAAATGCTCTGATATTCAGTTAGCACACATTCCTTATTATCAGATCCTGCCACAATTCCTGTCAGATGCCTTTGGGGCACGATACAGTGGCATGATGCGTCATGTCAGAAAGCAGATCAGGACCATTATCAGGCAGATGTTTGACATGATGCACGGTGTCAGTCAGCCAGTGGCATGCTGCCATTGCTCAAAAGGATTTTGACATCATACAGTGTACCAGTGCTGTAGCACAAAACCAGCATGTTCCAAAAATAGGGACAAATTCACCTCTGGCACAAGTAGAAGTAACTGCAGTGACTTCATTAGATTTGCATCTGCTTATGTCAACAGTGAGTTTGGCTCATAATCTGGAATTTATATAAAAGAGTGGTAAGTGGCTGCATTTTCAGATATTGGTTATAGTGTTTTCTACTCCCAGTATTCAGGCATCGTGGGACAGCTGGGGTAAACCCATCACCTTTCTCAACTCTTTCCCCTCCACCCCACAAGAAGCAGCCTCAGATTTCCATTTTTAACAGTGTAACAATACCTCAAAGTACATATAGGGTCACTCTTTTCAGAAACACGGGAGGTTGTGAGTTTGGGGATTTCATAAGGGGTAGGAATTTACAAAAAAGGAAGAGAGAGGGTCTCTCCTTACTGCCTTCATACTATTTCACAACAGTAGCTGCAAGCACTTGAGTTCACAAGTACTTAAATACAAGAAATTCATTCCACTCAAAAGAGGAAATTTTGGGTGGCAATTACAGTAATAGTTAAAGAATGGCATGAAAGGGCAGCCAGGATGAAATGTGAGATCTGATAAGATTTGGAGACTTCTTAAAAGGCATTGTAATTTATTGTTGTCCCCTTTCATCACTTTGGAATGAAAAGCACAGCTTGCTAATGCAGATGCATCACAGTGACAAAAGGACAGGAGGGGAATCAGCTAAGATATGACTGGTGTAAGACCTTCTTTACAGAAAGGAAACATCCCTCCCTTCTGACACAGTCTGTTTCTTTAATGATGAAAAGAACTAACTGGTTCTATTTTAAATAAATTTCCTTCATCTTTGCTATGTGTTCTAGCTTCTTAAATCCATCAGGGTACACCAATCCTTGGATTCACTGAACTTTGGTGATGCTAAGGGTAACCAAAAGAAATAAAAGCCAGTAAATCTTCAAGGAGCACTAATTAAGCACCACCTCCAAACCTGACTTGATACAGCAGCTGCACGGGTTGTAACATCAAGGGAACATGGCTTGTCTGGTACACTGTAGTTCTGGAGGAGAGAGGAAGAGCACAGCACCGTGGTAGAAGCAATCTGCACAGGCTCCTCAAGCATTCATTTACTTACCTGCTTGGAGATGAGATTTTATGTTGGAGTTGGAGGTGCTCACCACTTCCACAGATCAGAAAATTTATGTCAAGGCCTCAGTAAATGCTGGGAAACAGTTTGCAAGCCATTTCAAACTTTTGAACAATAACAACAAGGAGTAAGGGTCCTTCCCCTCCTTTATCACCACCATGGAATTATTTCCAAATATTTCTTTGAGGAGACAGCTCTGCGCAGTTAAGCAGTTTCACAGAGATTAAAACAAACAAAACAACAACTCCCCTCCTCTTATACCCTCCCCCCACCTCCTTCTTTCACCCTCTGCTGGCATTCTATAAGTATTTAAATCATTGGAAACCACACCCTAGCTAGTTGTGGCTAGTATTTACAGGCAAAGCCCCTTGGCTTTGCTGTTATGGGCCGCTCAAGAGCCAAAAATGTAACACTGTTAGTTTTTTCCTAAACAAGGATTCCAAATTGGAAGATACACATGGCATCCCAAGGAAAAACACACCAGGCATTTTCTACACCTTATGTATAAAGGAATGGTAACATTGAAAACAATGTTTCTTCATAACTCAATGGGAATTCTCTGATGAGATGGACAATAATTTTTTTTTTTTAAGTCAACTTTGATTGATGCAACACCATTTTCTTGTGGAGAACACTCAATTTTGACAAACACTCTCTAAAGCAAGTTAAGTTCCCATTGAGATCTGCCACCACACAAATTTCTGAAGGTTTTCAAATTACATTGCACTGGGTAGCCCAGCTAGGGAGTTTGTCTTGACCTCGGGACTCAGGGGATGCTAGGCATATTCCTGTAAAACTGCAGTGCCATCACCACTGGGATCTACACTTCCAGCAGATACACTGCAAGTCCCGGAAAAGCAGGAGGCAACAGAGAGCTTGAAAACTCCTGGGCTGAGCTCTGTCTTTCCCCATTCTCCAGGGAAGAAATACACATTGGAGCCAGGCAGGGAGGCACTCACTGCCATTTCTGAAGGAATGGAAACAGACTGCCCCGAACGCTTGAAGAGGGAGAGAAGGATGGGAGTTATTTCCATTCTGGAGGACAAAGTTTCACTCTGTATATACTTACATTGCTCCAATTTGAAAGCATACAGAAATTGATGGGGTTGAGTGTTTGAGGGAAAAAAAAGAAGTGTTCCATTCCTGTAATGCCATTTTAATCCATACAACACCTTGTGAGGACAGGAAACAGGCTTAACATTTCCCTTATACACACAGCCATGCACACTCACCACCAAGGGTTTGACCCCTCCAGGGCAGGAGGCATCAGTTTGTGTGTGGCAAGTACATAACCCCGAGATTTTTAGGATCTCTAGATTCAAAAGGCAATGAAATACAGCAAACCACTGGCCAAATTTAGGATCG